CGAACAGGTCCTTCAGAATCAACAAAGAATAATTGGTATCCAATAGCAATTCGTGTTGTTATATAAATCATATTACGGAATGTGATGCTAATGACAACGTAAACAAGGCCCACGTTTATTTGCAATTGAAGCCGCTCACCGAGTTTGCAAAGGGTTGTAGCGGAATTTTTCAGAAAACTAGGTTACAAAAGAATAAGCATGTAAATAAACACGCAAATACGCATAAACGTACAGTACGATTCATATAGAGTAACATATACAATATGTTCCAAGCAATGAGTAAAACGAATAAACAGCCTTTTCATGTATAACAAAAGTTTTGCTTTATGCACTGAAATTATTATTCCCCAAACAGCCAAAACATTTTTGAAAAAGACATTTCCTATACAGATCACAGAAAACAAATTATAGATCGTGATTCAAACAGAATATTCTCATGTGGAACTGAAATAGCTGCACATATAATCTATCATCGTGTAATTCAAAGATGATGAAATTTTTCATTCTTCCTTACATTTTACAAAAACTGAAATAGGTTTATGCACGTTTGAAACAGCATGATAACACTGAAAACTTGTCCACTGATCCGGTTTTCCAGTTTTGTGAAATTTATTTATGCGATAATAAACGACAAATTGTACTAGCATATTGCATACAATGACAGAAGCATCACTGCAGTCAATTTCCAAATCGAATTAAGGAATGACTGCAATCTGCAACAGTTATCAGCTGCAACACGACGTGAGGTTTCTGAGCCACTGCACAAGAATGTTACATAAATAATCAAAATTCACTTTCTTCCGATTTTTGTTCAGGTACGGACCTAGATAAGAACCTGCAAAAAAAGTGTCGAATCACTAGGTAATAAAAATATCAACATACAAAGGTAACATGAAAAGGATACTAAATTTCAGACTGACGGATTTCCAGAAGTGCTTTCATCCACTGACAATCCGGTGTCGCAACGCCAAGCCAACATGACTGCCTTTGAAAGCATTTTATAACGACAAGATCATAGGCATTACGCAACGTGTTACGACGGTGAATTTTTTCAATACAACACTTACCTGTGACACCTGCCAAGCAAGGTTAAACAAACCTAATAAAATTAGACCTGCCATAAACTGATAACGGATAGACTGGTTAATGATTTCCAGACCTCTCTCACGACAAGAGTTGATCTTTCAAATTTTGAAATATGACGGCGACAAATACTCAAGGAATCAAGATCTTGAGACATCGCAAACTGGCAAGTCAGTACTATATATCTTATTAGCTTATTACAAGACTTACGATAATGAGCATGAATGTATGTCAAAATGATACGGTACTCATAGATGTAACATGCAAGGAAATATTACTACGTTGTTCGGCTCAATGATTAACAGTGGGATAAAGTCTATGATAATATTTAAAACCAATGAACATGGAGAGCTATCACGCTTTGTGGAATCGAAGCACTGAACAGCTTTCAGTCATCTCCAGCAAACAGAATCGATATTAGTCACCATTTTTGTATAAATGGTACTTACATTTGTAAATCTGGTTCAGTGGAACTCTGTAACATTTCTTCGATTGTGGTTCAGGTAATTTACAGACGTTCCCTGCCGTTGTCTGGTTGTCCGCTACTGGTTTTCCCTGAGTACAAATTCCACCGCTCAGCGTAAACTTTCTTCATCGCCTCATCTTGCTGGGCTTTAACCATATTTTCAGCATCATCATCAGCCACATTGGTTACACCGGGAGCAGCACTGACGTAAACAACTGAACCACTACCAGAAAAAAACGCCAACAAACATCTACAAACCATGATTAAACACCAGAGTTTAGCTCCTCGACCTGTTTACTGTCTTACTTTGAAACAGTTCCCCTCAAAACTTTTCTGAGCAGATCCTGAAGATCTGATACAACAAACGTTGCCGATTCTCGGCGAGGTATAACTGCATAGTAATCAGTCGAAAATGGTTTCGGCTTTCCGGTCAGAAACCACAACCCTTCTGTATTGCTCAAACTGACTTCAACCCAACCGGTAACTAAAAACGTTAATGAACAGTTACAGTGAAAAACTGTATTCTTAAACAGTACCAAAATATTAACGGCAAAACAGAGCTGAGCGACTGAGCTCAAATTTTCTAAACCTATTCAGAAGCAAATCTAATAACAACAGTACAGATATACCAACATAAACTCCGGTATTCTGGGTTTACTAGCAAACAGCTAGTTTTCAATATCACCGGCACGAATAACATTCTCCTGTCACTTCTCCAGCTTTACACAGAGTAGCGCACCTTCCCTTTGCTTTTAGTAGCCTGAACAAACCTAGGGGACCACTTATTTGTGGCATATACACCTACGTCCAGAGGAATATTCTTTGGTACCAGACCGAATAAGTGGTGCTGTTTTGCGCCCCTGTAACGCAACTGCCAAAATGACATGGAGCCGCGGCTTGACGAAACGATCACCTAGACTACTGGAAGCAACTGGAAGGGGCGCTACATCGTGTACATCCGGAGAACTGACGGGAAAAGAGCAAAGATATTTAGTTCATATCCAGTGATCGCTTATGTTGCTGTATTAGGTCAGCTGAGATGTTGAAGAAACAACAGTAGTAAAAATCATTATAACAGCTGGAGATGAACCAAAGAAAAACGACATTATAGCGCAAAGCAGATCATCCATAAAATTTCAATAAACGTGAAGGTCCTCAACTTGCTCTTCCATAGGTCCTCTCGGACAAATAAATCTTTCAGGTGTTGAGATGACCATCATCTGAAGCTGGGTGCATAAACAGAACGTCTCTTGTTGGTATCTTCGTCGTGTTCGAACATTTAGAATCATTTTGCTATAAGGCACCGGTCACTAAATATGGAAATAGGAATTGTTCCTTTCCAAAAGCAGATATGCCTCTACCATCATCTTCATGTTTCATGATGGCTTTGCAGTCGCCCACATGATAAGCTTGTCGAATGAAGTAAATGCTTTATGTTCAACCTGTGTGTGTAACAGAGCCTAGTTCCATTTCTTAATTCCCTCATCAATGGTGTCCGAAATAGGATATAGTCGTTCGCTCCCTAATCCTGCCAGTTAATCCTCATTATGCGTCGAAGCCAGCGTTGTTGTACACAATTCTATTAATAAGCTTTTAATTTTGGATGATGTGATATCCTTGTAAGCATTTTCATGCCACTGACTTGGAGCAAAGGATATTACAGAATACACGCAGTTCAAAAAGTCAGGTGAAGCGACGGGTACTTATTACCTTTATGCTGTTAAAGAAACAAAAAGATCGATGCTCAGAGTGTAGCCGCTTTAGAACCACGCAAAAGCGTAATTTTCCGTTATGGAAGATAGATTTAAAAATGAACAATTTCATCCTCTGTTCTAGAAAAGGACAATATGAAAGCTCGAGTAAAATTATCTCCTTGAATATTCCTTATTATCAATCAAAAGGGTGCAAAGATATTGAATTTTCTTCCCATTACCTCACATCGATTTGAGAAGCTTCTCTCATTCTTCTGTTCGTAATGTAGACTAAACGTCGTTCGAGGGTATATGGCAAGAAGAATAAATTACATCTGCTTTTGTTCAAGAATGAGCTTTCTGAGACGAATCGCTGGGCTCGCATGTCTCTATATAGTCCGGATTAAAAATATACGAGAGCGTTGGTGTACAGCCGCAGCTTCGCCAGGTTGAGAAGTCACAGTTGCCAAGGTTTAAACACGTGTGGAGAATGTTCAAAGAAACGAAGGCGAAACAGCAACTAGTTTTTTTTCAACTTGACCGGCTGAAGAACTCGAGGACGGCCAGAAATATTCTGGGATAAGTGTCTCGATACACTCTGCTACAGATTCGGGTTATCTTGCCGAATCTCAAACTCTGGCAACGGATCAGGACTGGAGACACTTTCTGACGAGTCTGCCCTCACGACCCGAAAGGATAAACGGTCATAGATGCTAACTGACTTACTTCTTCAAGGATAAATATGGATGACAGCTTCTAATCCTTCAATACAAATTTTCTCAGAAGTCTACTTTCTTAACAGATTTTCTTAAAGGATTAAAAAAGTGCTGTCAACTCCTGGCACCACCGCCTTTAGCTGACAACTTCAGGGTTAATTAGAGGTCTTCACGGCTAAGGAAACATGGAAAGACCATTCTCTGCACTTCCTCCACGCTGGAATCCGATATTTTGCTCGTAACCAGAATTTCGACAAACCTCCAGCTGAGTTGCAGAGCTAGATCAGTGATTCCGCTGTCAGAAACGCTGCTTTCCAAAATTCAATTTCCGCGTCCTTGTTAGGGAGAGCAAAATCATCAGTGCGCTAACCAATTAGAATCGCCAGCATTTTTTCTCGTCTAATGTGGTTCTGCCAAGAAGGGCGTTAAAAGAGCCACAAATTCACATAGAAACATAGGAATCCACAGTGGGTATCAATCGCCGAAGAAAGTATGCCGAAAACAATTATATGTCGCTCCGTCTTTCCTCCTAACCAATGGTGGTGATTGTAGTAGAAACGCAAGGAAGAACCGATACTCAACCCGATGAACCATAGGTGGAAATGGAAAGAAAGTGACAGCCGTAGTGCTACATGGCTGTGAAAACTTGGAAATTCGGCACAGGAAACCTTTCCCAGCTTTTATCCGTCATCACTTTGATCAGAGGATCCAACTGAACCACTTCTCAAACAGAAATTATACTTCCATTGAAACCAGTTATAATACTTACCAGTAATATTCATATCCTGCCATTCCAGCGTAAATGGACCAGTCCAACTCCAAAAATAGTTTCATATTTGAAACAAAACAGTGGTTTAAGCGTCAATGAATAACTAACACTGATTCTTTTGCTTAAACCTATTTTTAATGTTAACGAATTATAAACTGTTTAAAATGCGCATACTGCGAGACTAAGAAAACACATCTCAACTGCTTTGCTTATATATTTCATAACAGTTTCTTAACAAAAACCACGTACCAATGACCAAATCCCAATACAGAAGCTTCATCAATACAATATCGCTGTCTTCGCATCCACTACTATGCATTTCTTCGCCCTTAGAACAAAATACAAAGATGCTACCTTAAAGTGCAGATATCGATTGTACATACAATTGGTATTTTGTCTAAGAAACATAAGCCATCATCGGATTCGTTGTCCATGGAGTAAGACGAAAGTCCCAAAAGGACAATACTGAGTTAAATGCAGGAAATGCGATGGCAATTCTAAATAACACGTAGGTTTATTGTCAAATTGTTTGCTTATATACAAGTACCTAACTCACAACGGTCAAATTCAATTTATATCACTTACAGACAAATGGTTTATAGCCTTAGAACGGCACCTATCCGCAAACTCCGATAATTCAACACTTTTAGTACAGCATACTTAAAGATTGTCAAGTTTTTGCCTTGGTCGTAGATAAATGTTATGCACATAGTTGTTGCTCGATTAGGTCAAAGGAGAAAGCAAATTTGGAACCGTAGCAATGTCAATCCTCCCTGCACTTACATCATGCAATCAGTTTTAGTTCTAGCACAATTGTTTTTGAGAAGTTAACGTTAGGACGCCTGTCTCCATTTTCATCCCTCTCTCCTTCCTCAGACAGGAATGTTACATTTTTATGAGCAGAATTGACAGTATCGCTGTTATGTAACAGGCATAGTCTGTATTCACCCGTTTTTTTCGCTTATTTGTCAACTCTTGAAAGAATAAGGATGAATAATAATCCTACTGGAAATAGAATACACGGTCTCTCAAGTTTGAATCAGATGCTCTAACTCCTCAATAACGCCAGTCTGAAGGAATGTATTGTAAATGGTTTGTTTAAGAGAATTCGTGGTAAACATAAAGACTGCCTGCCTCGGCCTCTAAATTTCCAGTTCAAAGACCACTTCTTACGTACTGTGTCACTATGCCAGTCAGTTCAGTTCAAAGATACTTTCTGTGGTAAGGACGAATCTAAAATTTGCTAGAAGCAGTACACCTCTCCTAAAATTTTGCTGGTTATCAATCCTAACAAGTCTGCTCTTTCTGGTCACCGTGTAGTTTCCAAGCTTCTCCATCGATTCCTTTGTTTTTTCTTCCGTCTCAATTGCTCTTTTTTCGTTAATACTTTCTTAAAGCTTTTTTCTTTGATATATCGCCCATAAAATCAATAAGAAGTTTTAGTCTTACAATTACGGTGATCTGATATGCATGAGTTACTTGTAGACATTTAAGGTCGTCGACATTTGACTGTACTACGCGGCAGATTTTTGGTTGCTAGTGAGGGGCCGCAATTAGACTTTAATTTTTGCCGTCATCAGTTCATGGTCGCTGCTGCATTCAGCACTTCTGTTCATCCGACATCTACTCGGCACCATCGATGACTTTGAGTGATGAGAGCTTAGTCAGTATGGTTGTCCAATGATACATTGGGTGAGTGCATGTGATTTCATTCAGTGATTTGCAAGGGAATCATGTACCATTAACAAGTAGATGGTACATTTCAAGCACTGAGTCGTTAACCAGTATCACTGATCTCTCGAACACCGTGTGATTGCAAGTATCTATGCAATTCATTCTTTAATCTCACTTTCACATTGAATTAGCCTATAAGAATGAAGGTATGATGAGTTCGACACGGTTGCAACAGGCAAGCCAGCGTGGAACAAAATTTTTCGGTTAATACTTCTGCCTCACCTTCAATAAGGACATCATGACGAACTGCCATAGTTCTAAATCCTTTATACCCTGGCTTAAATCTTGTCGCAATAATTATATCAGATGCATTGTGATCAAAGGCTTATTCGGCACTTCTACTGACTGCCAATGGAGCCCTACCTCTGTGAGCAACTCTTCTGTTTTATTCAATATGCAATTGAAGAAACAAATTCCATTAGTCAC